AAAGGCAGGTGGATCTCTGTGAGTTCAAGACCAGCCTGGTCTACATAGTGAGTTCCAGGACAGCTGGGGCTACAAGGAGACCCTTTTTCAAAAAAGACCAAAAAAAACCGTTCCTGTGAAGGTTGATAAATCAGAGCTATTGCGATGGTAGAGGAGGGGCAGAGGCAAAGGAGCCTTGAAAATGGATGTGACCAGGATTGGTGATACAGGCCTATAATGACTCCAGCTCAGAGGCTGAGGCAGGGTTGAAGTTTCTTTTTTGTTCTTGTTTTGTTTTGGTTTATTAGGAAGGTGAAACAAGGTATCATGTAGCCCAGGCTAGCTTCCAACTTGCTTTATAGTGGAAGATAACCTTGAACTTATCTTCCTGCCTCCATTTCCTGAGTATTGGGATTTATAGGCATGTGCCACCACATCCAATTTCCTTGGTGTGGGGACTGAACCTATGGTTTCATGAATGCTAAGCAAGCACTGTATCAACTGAACTACATCCCTAACCCAAGGATTACAATTTCAAGTCCAGCCTGGGAAACTCGGTGAGACCCTTGTCTCAAGAAGTAGAAAGTAAAAGGGAGAGGTAGGCATGGTAGCACATGCCTTTAATCCCAGCACTTGGGAGGCAGAGGCAGACAGATTTCTGTGAGTTCCAGGCCAGCTGGGGCTACAGGGAGATCCCATCTCAAAAAAAAAAAAAAGACCAAAATAAATAAATAAATAGGCTGGGGGAGACTGGGGATATAGCTCAATGGTACAGTGTTTCTCCTAGCAAGCAGGAGGCCTTGGGTTCAATTCCTAGTATAAAAAACAAAAGTAGGGGGAGGTTAGCTCAGTGGTTAAGAGCACTGACTGCCCTTGCAGAAGACCCAGGTTCGAGTCCCAGCACCTACAAGGCAGCTAACAACCATCTATAACTCCGGTTCCAAGGAATCTGACTCCCTCTGACCTCTATGGGCATTACACAATACAAGTGCACTTACATACTTGAAGTCAATACATTCAATTACATAAAATAAAAATAAATTATATATAATAAATAGATATTAATATATATATTTAAAGTAAGGGATGGAGCAGTGGCTCAGCAGTTAAGAGCACTGGCTTCTCTTGAAGAGGACCCAAGTTCAGTTCCCAGCAAACCCATGGTGGCTAACAACCATCCTTATTCCATTTATATTTTTAATTTCTCTTAGCAATGTTTTATAGCTTTATGTGTTTTGGATTGGTTAGTTGGTTGGTTCTTTGGTTTTCAGAGATAACTCTTAATATGTAACCAAAACTGGCCTGGAATTCACTGTTGCTAACCTTGAACTTGTCTTCTTGCCTCAGCTTCATAAGTATTGGGGTTACAGGTAGGTACCACAAAATACATTTCTTTTGGTTTCATTGGTTGGTTTCAGTTTGAGTGCTGGGGATTAAGCTACATTTTCAGCCCAGATTTATTTATTTATTTATGTTTTTATGAGACTAGTTCTCACAATATAATACTAATTGGCCTGGAACTCACTATGTAGACCAGGCTGGCTTCAAACTCACAAAAATCTGCCTGCCTCTGCCTCCCAAGTGCTAGGATTAAAAGTTAGTCAGCTCAGGTTTTTCGCTTGTTTGTTTTGAGACAGGCTCTCCCTGTAGCCCCAGGTGGGGTATAGCCTGAAACTCACTATGTTGACCAGGCTGGCCTCAATCTCACAGAGACCTGCCTGCCTCTGACTTCTGAAAACTTTTATTTATTTATTTATTTATTTATTTATTTATTTATTTATTAAGGGTCTCTCTGTAGCCCCAGCTGTCCTGGAACTCACTATGTAGACCAGGCTGGCCTCGAACTCACAAAGATCCGCCTGCCTCTGCCTCCCAAGTGCTGGGATTAAAGGCTTGCACCACAACACCCGGCATGATTTTGTCTTTTTACACTGTGTAGTACATTATAGTCATTGAGTTTCAAATAATAAACCAATCTTGAATTCCTGGAGTAAATCCTTTAGTCATGATGTTTCATTGATCCTCTTTATATGTTACTAAGTCATATATTTAAATTATGTGTATGCATTTGCTCTTATGTGGGGTATGTGCAGATGAGTGTAGGTACTGGAAGAGGCCAAATGCATCAGATCCCCCAGGAGCTCGATGTACAGGCAGTTGTGAGCCACCAGACCTGTGTCTTGGGAATTGAACTTCATTCCTCTGGAACTGAGCAGCAATGCTCTTAACTGCGGAGCCATCTCTTTAGTCCTCAGGTTTTATATTTGTTGAGAGTTTTGTGTCCATATTAATAAAGGATATTGATCTATAGTTTCCTTGTGATGTCTTTGCTTGGCTTTGGTGTCACGATAATACTGACTTTACCAACTGATCCACCTCACTAGTCCGCTAGAAAATATTGACCTTAATAGAATGAGTTGAAAAATGTTTCCCCTTGTGCTGATCAGTCTTCATAGCTGTGACAAAATGCCTCAGATGCTGGGCATGGCTCACAAATTCAAACCACTCTGGGCTACATATGAAAAAAAAAGTCACTCTACCAGAAAGCATTTTCCTTTTATCTGACCTAAAACATGGTAACAGTGAGCCACATTTGTCACTGAAGCCTGGGAGCAGGGATTGTGTCATTTATCACCATTATAAAGCAGAACTCTCTGAAAATTGAGCTCTGAAAAATCCACAGTATGTAAATTGAAACCCTGGGAATTTGAAAACAGACCCTAAATTAGCTGGGATATCCCTTGGGCAAGTTCCTGCGACTGACAGAGCCTAGTTTCCTCTGCTGCAAAATGGCGTCACACCTATGTTTTAGTACAAGGTTGTGACAGTGAATAACTTACATGTGTTAATATGCTTTGTAGACTCATTAGAAAGGTGGCTATGGGGCCAGTGAGATGACTCAGTAGATAAAGGCATCTACTACCAAGCCAGATGACCTGAGATACATTTCCTTAAAGCTACAGTGGAAAGACAAAAGCCAAACCAAAGGCTGTCCCTCTGGCCTCTACATACATGTTGTGGCACATGCACACCCACACTCATACACATACAACAGTAAACTTGTTTTGTTTTTGAGACAGGGTCTTACAATGTAACCCTGGCTGACCTGGAACTTGCTGTGTAAACCAGACCTGGCTTGCACTCACAGAGATTTGCTTGCCTCTGCCTCTCAAGCACTGAGATTAAAAGCGTATGCCACCAAGCCTGACTTAAATAATATATATATTTAATATTTTACTTGTTATTTTTATTTTTGTGTACAAGTGTATTGCCTGCATATATGTAAGTGCACCTGTGTCATGCAATACCCTCAGAGGTCAGAAGAGGGCATCAGAGTCCCATGGAACTGGAGTTATTGGCGTTCCGGATGGCTGTAGGGACCATATGGTAACTCATCTATATCTATATCACTATCTATATCACTATCTATCATCTATCTATCATCTATCTATCTATCTATCTATCTATCTATCTATCTATCTATCTATCATCTATCATCTAGAGAAAGACAGGTCTCACTATGTAGCCCTAGCTTACTATATAGACCAGGCTGGCCTCATTCTCACAGAGATCCACCTGCCTCTACCTCCAGAGTGCTGAGATTAAAGGCATGGGCTACCATGCCTGGTGTGTGTGTGTGTGTGTGTGTGTGTGTGTGTGTGTGTGTGTGTGTTCTCTGTGGGGGGTTTATGAATTTATTTTTTTGTCT